TTAAGTAAAAACAACGAAAAAATAGTGGGGTTAATTGAAATAAAATAAAAAGGGCTTAAGGTTTCATGCGTTTTTCACTTTATATCTCAGTATTTTAATTTTGACAAATTAAACCATGTAGTTTGAGGCCTGTTTCAATGTGACCCTCCGTCCATCTCCATCGTTTAAAATGAAAAACATGTGAAACCTTAGGATTTATTTCGTAATTAATCCTTTTTTTTATTTTTAGTGATTTTAATTTTAAAAAATGGTTAATTATACAAAAAATTCCAAGGTTTCATACATTTTTTACTTTAAACGCCATCCGTTACCTTACACAGATAGAGATGGACGAAAGGGACATATTGAAATACAAATATAATTTCAGAGTTTAATTTGTCAAAATCAAAACACTTGGCTTTAAAGCGAAAAATGCGCTAACTCTTAAGTTTTTTTTTTTTTTTGTATATTTGTGTATTTATATGGGTTTCTTAAAATTGATACACTAAGATTTTCAACTAAAGTATTTAGTAAGAATAATTATCATGCTGAATCCTAATTAAAATAATTTATAAACAATAAATATTAAATACCCACAAAATTATTATTGTTAATAATGTCTTTGTTAGTGATTGAATTGGATTAATTTAAAACTAATTTATATACTAATATATTTCAGACAAACTCCAGATAAAATTTATTAATTTATTTATTTTTATTTTTATTTTTATTTTTATTTTTATTTTTATTTTTATTTTTATTTTTATTTTTATTTTTATTTTTATTTTTATTTTTATTTTTATTTTTATTTTTATTTTTATTTTTATTTTTATTTTTATTTTTATTTTTATTTTTATTTTTATTTTTATTTTTATTTTTATTTTTATTTTTATTTTTATTTTTATTTTTATTTTTATTTTTATTTTTATTTTTATTTTTATTTTTATTTTTATTTTTATTTTTATTTTTATTTTTATTTTTATTTTTATTTTTATTTTTATTTTTATTTTTATTTTTATTTTTATTTTTATTTTTATTTTTATTTTTATTTTTATTTTTATTTTTATTTTTATTTTTATTTTTATTTTTATTTTTATTTTTATTTTTTTTTTTTATTTTTTTTTTATTTTTATTTTTATTTTTATTTTTTTATGGAATAAGATAGAGATTCTCCATAGAATAAGGGAAAGACTTTTTCTCTGGAATGAGGAAATTCTTCTTGAAATGATGAGAGATTTTCTCCATGAAATAAGAGCGAGATTTCTCCACAGAATAAGAGACTATTGTTTTTTTAATTTTATTTTTTATTGTATGTTGGTTTTAAAATAGAAACACAAGCAAAAATTTAGAAGGGTAGTTTGGTCATATTACTCTAAACAGGACTTAATGATTTTTTTTAAAAAAAAAGATGAGTTAAATGAAATATAACACTTAAAAATAAAACTTTCTAAAAAAACGGCCCTAAAAATAAATATTGGACATGATCCTTTAATATAATAAATTTGTAAGCTAAAAAAGTTTGCTTTTGATGCAGTACCATTGAAAAAATTCAGAGATGCAAGAAAACACCTTCTTCATGTAAAATTGTTATTATTTTTTGCCCTTGGGTTGCATCGTAAAGTTTTGGCAGGTCAATTGTGTAATGGAGACCATGTGCATTGACAAATGGTCTCTACATGAGAACAAAACTATCATTTCTTGTAATATCTAATTGAGATATCATGACATGAATTGTTACTGTTTTTGTTTTTTTGCCCTTTTAGTGGGTGACATCGTAAACTTTTGGCACTTCAATTCTGTAATGGAGATCATCTGCATTGGCATATGGTCTCTATATTGGAATAAAACTCTCATTTCTGGTAATATCTAATTGAGATATCATGACATGTAGTGGTGGATAAATTTTATATTAAATTTATATTAGTGAGATGATATATATTATTTTAAGTCTGACTCAGTTTGATATCGAGTTTAATTTAGTTATTCTAAATCCAATAATAAAAAATTTTGAAATCTTTAGTCCGTTCACTTAATTCAATAAATATGTGCTATTAAATTTTATTATTATTTATTATTGTCTTGAATGATATTAAAATATTTAAATCCTTTTATTTATTATTTAAATTTAGAACGTTAAAAAATTCAGTAATAAAATAAACATGATTTTTAAATGTTTTAATGTAAACCTAGAAAGAAGTATGTATATAATTTTTTTTACTTTATTTTATAACTACATAAATCTAAAATTGCAATTAATATTTTATAAATATACGGGCCAAGCTGCACTAGAACTTTGCATCTCAAAATCCAAATATTAAATTGAGACAAAATCTCATATAAGCAAAATAACTTCTTTTGTATTTAAAAAATATCCGATTGAATTAAGCAGATGATCGGCCGAAGTCCACACCTACATGTAACATGCCCTACGTGAGGGTGCCATATATATGCAGAAAAGTGCTTGAGACGTAGTATATGTTAAACATGCGATTTTGGTTGTGAAAATTAGATGTAATACTATGGTGCATCCTCTTGAAAAAATATGTGCTATATGTATTTTTATGTTGAATGTCATGTATTTTTATGATAGATGTTACTTACTTTTTTGGATAGAGTTACGATAATTTATGGTTCAATTACGTATTTTGTGATAGTGTTATGTATTATTATAATAATGTTATATATTTTGTGGTTATAAAATATTTGGATAAAAATATTTGTAATTTTATCACAAAAATACATAACAGTATTACAAAATCCATAACTTTATTTTTGAATAACAAATTATCGTAACTTTAAGTAAAAAAATACGTAACATTTATTATAAGTATAAGTAATATTCATTACAAAAATACATAACAAAATGTATATATTACATACCTTTTGAAGAGTATGTACTATCCAAATTTTCGAAAATTATGGACTCTTTGTGGGTACCATAAAACACAGAAATTCCAACAAAATAACCCATCACACTACAAGAATTAACACTTTTGGCAACAAAAAAATTGGTCGCTAAAAGTCAATTTTTGGTCGGCAAAAGTTATCCGCAACCAATTTTTTTGGTCGCTACTTTGGTCGCCAATTGAGGGTCGGCAAAAGTAATTCGCGACCAAAATTGTGGTTGGTCGGCAAAAGTTGGATTTCGCGACTAAATTTTTAGTCGCTAAATGTTTAATTACCGCGACTAATTTATTTTGTCGCCAAAACACTTTGGTCGCCAATTGTGACATTCCACGACCAAAAATTTTTGTCGCCAATCATGACATTCCGCGACAAAAAATTTTTGGTCGCCAATCGTCACATTCCGCAACCAAAAAATTTGGTCGCCCATTGTGACATTCTGCAACCAAAATTTGTTTGGTTGCCAATTGTGACATTTCGCGACCAAAAATTTTGGTCGCCAATTGTGACATTCTACGACCAATATTTTTTTGGTCGCCAATTGTGACATTCCGCGACCAAAGAATTTGGTCGCCCATTGTGACATTCTGCGACCAATATTTTTTTGGTCGCCAATTGGGACATTTCGCGACTAATCAATTGGTCGCCAATTGTGACATTCTGCGACCAAAATTTGTTTGGTCGCCAATTGGGACATTTCACGACCAAAAATTATGATCGCCAATTGTGACATTCTGCGACCAATATTTTTTTGGTCGCCAATTGGGACATTCCGCGACTAATCAATTGGTCGCCAAAACTATAAAAACAAAACCAAATTTTGGTCGCCAATACCCAACAAAATAAACCTGTAATTTATAATAATTCATCCAATTTATTCAATATAATCTGTAAAAAGAAGAAATCATTCAAACCAACAAATAAATTGAATCATCAACATTCAACAAAATACATATATCAACCATTTCTAAACCTGTTTAATTAAAGTCAGCAACTATTATAAGTTTACATCCGCAAATAATTCGAAACTACATATTTCATCTAGCATAAAAATTAAACACGTTTTAAATTTTTATCCATGTACATCAACCCAAAAATATAACTAGTTGTCTACCAAATATTTTCTATACACACCCATCCAAAAATATAACTAGTAGTGTATCCAAAAATATATTTTCTATATACATCTATACAAAAATATATAATCCTTCCAAAAATACAAAAAGTGCCAATTTGTCCTGTACAATTCAGCTTTGTGCACGAGTTCATCCATCTGTACCATAAAATAAGAGAAATAATGTCAGGTAAAATTGGACAAATAACAAATTATGTCCATGAAAGCAAAGGTCACATTAGCAAATTAAAATGACTACCATTATCAAATTGTAAATAAAACAATACCATTCTTATGTGTATAGAATAAATTGGATCAGCCACCATTCCAGATCCAATATAGTGCCACACAGCAGAAACCAAACACGGCAACTGAAATTGATCCATATTGTCAATAACTCCTATCTTCCTATCTTCCTATCAGGATAAAAATTTACTCTTACCGGACCGACTGGCCAAATTGATGAAACCAATTGGAGTGCATCATATCATATCACATCATATCAAACTTTCCATCAAATTTTTACATGGAAATTTTGAGTTACTAATCCAAAACATGGTTCTTCCCAAATCACCTAATCCTTGTGCTGTCAATTTCTCTTTACTATTACTCTTATCTTTAATGATAAAAATCAGTGATTAGAACGCAGTAAAATGGTCCAGTTAGAGGCACACCAGGTTTGAACAAAACAATCACTGAAAATATAAGAATTTCTGTTTATTTAAAAAAAAAAATCAAATCAAATCAAATCAAATAAGAAATAAATTACCTGGAACACCGGCGAATCGGAGAGCCTCTTCGATCATACGGATCTGAGCGGAGCGATGATCGGAAAGTAGGGATTAATTTGTATTCTTTCTTCTGTAACGATGCCATTTAACATCACTACCTGAAGATCATATTCCATCAAAATAAATACAAACACTACAATTTGCATACAACAGAATGCATGGTGTTCTCAGTCCTATATTATCTTGAATAAGGCCCACAATCCATGATATATGATTTGTAATGTATTTTTGGGAGAGTTGCTAATGTGTAGCATTAGAAATTTAGAAATTAGGCAATATTTAAAAATGAAGAAGTTTCTCAATTTCACTACAGGAAGTGTGCACTTTTGCAGTTTCTTAAACATTGTAATTACAAAGCATGTGAAATTCAACATTTTTTCGAACAAAAATTGTGAAAATATATAATTTCAGAATATATACCACCAGTTTGCTCCAAAAACAAGCATCCAGACAGATCAGGATGATTGACAGCTCAGGAAAAAGCCAGACAGAGTTGGAGCACACACTGAAGGCAGACAGATCCATCTGCTGCCCATCCAGACAGATCAGGATGATCTTTATGAAGCCAGACAGATCATGCAGACCACTAAAGGAAAAGAAAGAATAAAAAAGAAGAAATAGAGAGGAGAAGACCCACACTGCTGCCACAGTGTTACACAGCAACACAGCACAATGCACTAATCTGCTGCTGATGAAGACAGCAGCCAACTGACAGATTATATTGATGCAATACTTCACCATGCATACCACCAAAGGAAGAGAAAAGAAGGAAAAAGAAGAAATAGAGAGGAGCCAATTCAGAGCAGTTTCGAACCCCAAACGCCCCGGTTTTGCCTACTTTGTCACACGTTTATGTCCTACATAACTAATCATGCGTCCTATCGAAGCGTTGCTTGCTTTCACAAGTTTGTTTGATCTAGGCCGAGGTGCAAGCAAACGATCTCGGGTTGTTTCCAGGCTGTTTCCAACAATATTGCCCCAACCGGCTCGTTTTTTCCTTTTTTCTCACATTTTGGTTTCCATGGAACATTCACAAATTCTGGTTTAACTATTCATCCTTCGATCAGTGGAACATTACAATGCATTAAAGTTTCTTTTCTAGTCAACATAAACTATTCTGTAAATTCCATCTTTCAAATTTAGAACTAAAATTAGTTTAAAGACAACCATTTCTCTATGATATTCTCCCCAAACGTTTATTTTCCTTTACTTTGAACATAAATATAATCAAATATGGTTTAACACACTTACCAATTACCATTGAGCCATCTATTGTCGAGAATTTGGTGGATTGCGATTTTCCAAAAATTGTGCCAACATGCTCTGAACTCCAAAAAGCTGCTGCTGCATCTCCTCACGTTGTCTTGTATTCTCTGCCTCTTTCATTTGTTGCTCCTCTTCTTTTTTTTGTTGCTCCTCACGGGGTTGTTTTTAGTGACGCAAGGGAGGCAGCAGAAGTAATGTGGTGGAAGGTATGTGTTCTGCTACAAAGTTGTACTTCCGACATTCTTGGAAAGTTTTCACTCAAATTCTCCTCGATTAGTTTTCACATCCTGCTGTCTGTCATAATTTCATTTTGGATAATAATCCAGTTACCAAATTTACATGCCAATTATGGAATGACCAACCAATCATGGTCCATGGTGTAACTGTCATGTTACAAATGTTTTTGCATCTTGTAAATGCAACGCTTTAACCAGCTACTACCAAGGTAATTTCAATTGAGAATCATATGTGAACATGTGTACGTGACTATGTCAACAACGATAATTAATACGTTGAACATTTTCAAGATGACATCTATTTTTAATAAATTATTCACTTAAAATCTTTACTGTGTCTATGTATTTCAATCTCTACAATTTTATTCTACTTTGGAAACAGTGCCTTTGAGGTTTCAAGTGCCACTGATTAGAAGAATGATAGATCATTTCTCAGGCAGTGAGTAATGTAAAATTCAGTTATCTAAAAACTCCCCTTAGATGTCATCTTCTTCCATCAAGCTTTTTGAAAACAGTTCTATTTCTTTTAAAAATCTATTACTTTTAAGTGGGAATCCACTAGATTCCATACCTAGAGATGTTTCGGATGACATGATCTTAATAAGAAACTGACACACTTTTCCTGTATCATCATATCGGATGGCTCCAACCTTCTCCATATGCTCCTCTCCTTTGGTATCTTGAGTATCGTTGGCATATAAACGTTTCCTGCATACCTGCAATATAAAAGCAGAATACAGGTTTAACATTTGATACTAATGCGACATCTTTCTTTCAAAAGCATTGGTTATTAGTTTTCTAAGCTTTTGGATCAACATAAATTCGAGGATGGAACATTTGTGTTTTAAACAATAAAAGAGATTCATCAATTTAATGCTGGAAACAAAAGGGCATGAAACAGAGCCATGAAATCTCACCTGAAATACCCGATTTAGACTAGCAATTTGCTCAGTTTTCAGGTAACCGGCATTCATTAGCTCTCGAAATAAAAGCACCATCTCAGCACTCACATTGTTTGCTGAAAGGTTGTTAACTATACCGAATATACAAGAATCATCAAAAACATAACTCATCCACTCAGGAACCTTATGCCGTTTCAACAATGCGACTGCCACATGAACAGCAGGCTTGTGCTGAATCATAAATGATTCAGATGCCAAACATGGAACTGCCAAAGACATTGCTAGCTCTTCTACAATCAGCCTGCACCAGTTATTTCTTCGCTTGGCTCGTAATTCCGTATCTAGCTTTTCCCAACCCAGAATCATTGATAAACAGAGGCTACAATTCATGGCCACTCTAATATCATTGCAGAAAACTAGGCCTTCTAATACAGCCATTACAGACAATAGATATCTGGCGGTGAAGTTTAACTTTTCTGATTTTTCATTTTTCTGGTCTGATATTCTGGTAAACAGCTCCAACAGGCAATACGAAGCAACCAGCTTGACAGGAGCAGAACCAAAATGCACCAGCCTGCACAAATCATGGCAGTGAATGCATATGAAGGATAGTGGCTGCATCCCATTTTCTTGATCAAGAAAATTTTGCCATTCCACACTCCCTCGTAGAACAGCATGCACACTGATGAAACAACCACATTAGTTTTTGAATGTCTAGGAATTAGATCTGTATATTTAGTGAAATTCATTACCTTCGCAATGAGAAGAAGTGTAGTAAAAGCACAAATAACAGGGTTTCTCCTGTTTCTGTTCCTTCGTCGTGATCAATTAAAGCAGGTCCCTTTGAACAGGTTACATGGATTGTGTTGTTAATTATGGAGACCAAGGGAGTACTCAAAAGTATAGTTTTTGAAGTTTCAACCAGTGCTTGTTTAGTGGAATGGTTCAAAATTAAGGAAAAAATGCCAATTATTATCAGGCATTCTTCAGTCCACCTATCGGCAGCAACTGAGGGGACCAGGTAGTCCATCAACTACAGTCCAGAATTTGGTTCAAGTAGCCCAACAAAAGCAGCCAGCTACACTCAATGGAAGACTAATTCCAAGAATATTGGCAAACTAACAGATCAGCAACACTATTAGTAGACTAGCAGACTATTACCAGGACTAACAGCTTCAACCCTCAGACCCTCTTTTTAACAGACTAGCAAAGGTAGCAGCAATAATCTTTTTTTTTTTTTTTTTTTTAATTTAAAAAAAATATTATATATAAAAAAGTTTATAAAAATATTATTTAAAGTGAAATGTCAATGATATTTTAAAATTATGAGAATAATAATGATTTTTTTGATTGAAAATAAAAACTCCATG